CCCCCCCCCAGCACCAAGAATACAGAGCATCACTTTGCTCCAACCGAGAGTTCCTGTCTGTACCTTGTGGCTAATAGCCACTGATGGACCTCTGCTCCATTTCATTGAGTGCCTGCGAGTTCTTGTACTGTGAGAAAGGGAGCAAAGCTCTGTCCCATACATAATCTTGTAAACCTTGATCATGTCATCCCTCAGTTGTCGTTTCTCCAAGCTAAAGAGCCCCAAGCGCTTTAACCTTTCTTCATCATTCTAGTTGCCCTTTTCTGCACTTTTCCCAGTGCTATAATAGCCTTTCTAAGGCGCGGTGACCAAATGGGACACAGTCATACACTGTGTTTTCCCACTCAGTCTTTGTGGGAGGGGGAACATTGACCGATTCCCCACAAGCAGCTGTGCCGCCGCCGCTCTTCGGTTTCCCCCAGTTGTATTGGTCAGTTTCACACTATTCGCTGCATGGCCGCATTTTGACCCGTATCTCCCCCCGATTTCCCCCGCATCTTCTCGATCCTATTCGTGCAGCGAACAGTGTTTTTGTGTTTGAGACGAGAGACGTTTCAGAGGTGATTTGCCATTGCCTGCCTCTGCATCATGACCCTGGTATTCTTTGGAGGTCTCCCTTCCAAATACTAGCCAAGGCTCACCCTGCTTAGCTTCCGAGATCTGATGGGATCGGGCTAGTTTGGGCTATCCAGGTCAAGGGATTTCTACCATTATTGTGCCATGTCTAGTGCTTGTTTAATTTTCTGGGGGGGAAATATACATATAATAAAGATGTGTTAATTGGTTTTTATGAAGAGAAGAATGAATTGGACAAAATTTGGCTTTCCTCAAGTGATAAAATGATACATAAAGTTTATAATTTCCTATTAGAAGATTATATGGTAGATAATCTTGTCAGACACAATATATTAGCATGGATGAGAGATTAAGGACATGGTATTGAAATGGACGACTGGTGTAAAATTTGGAAAAGAACTAACTGTATGAGGGCTATCCCATTTAAAGAAAATGTGTTTAAGATATTACATAGATGGTACTGGCCCCCGGAAAGAATCGCACAATGTTTTCCAAACTGTTCAAGCAACTGCTGGAAATGTAGAAGTAATGTTGGCTCCTTTCTCCATATGTGGTGGAGATGTGTTAAAGTTCAAAATTACTGGAAGAAAATTCAGAAAATAACAAGAGAGGTACTACGGGTAGATGTGCCACTTAACCCTGAAATTTATTTGTTAAATATGGTCCCTAAGGAGTATGATTATAACAAATCTTATGTGATGCTGTATATTTTAACGGCAGCAAGGATTCTATGGGCTAAATATTGGAAATCGTACAAAACACCTCACAAGGATGAATTAATATATAAATTATTGGAAGTAGCAGAAATTGATAACTTAAATGTAATATTATATGGGAAGGATGAGAATATATTTGAAAAAAGGTGGTCGGCACTGTATGAATGGTTAGAGATAGAGCGAAAAAAATAGACTCTAAAGAATATTTAATTTTGTATATGTTTATTGTTAAAATACAAAATTATAAATAAAACTTAAAAAAAAATTCTGGGGACAGAGAATGCATCTTTATTTTCATACACGTGAGAATTTGGGTGGAGAGTGGCTCCTTCTCCCTTCCTGTGACCTGAATCTATTATTCCCCCCCCCCTTTTTTTGAAGTGAAAGCAGTGCTTAAGAAGAGAGAATATGGACCAAAGTACACGAAGAATAATTTCATTACAGGCGTCAGAGCCATAAATGAGTTCTGTCTCAAGTCCAGGTGAGCTGAAACTCTTGAGCGGCTGAAATGTGTGGCTCTTTCTAAATGCTAGCCAGCAGAGAGTGGGCGGCAGTACTTGAGACCAGTGGTGGCCAGTTTCAGTCGTCGCGGAGGCCTCTCCGTTCAGGGGCCAGGAACAGTCAGTTTCAGAGAGGGACCGGCCATTGAACGTGCAGGGAAAGTTCCCGGTGGGCCACTTCCCTGCAGGGGCTGTTGCAGCCAGGAGCCAGCCGTGCCAAGTCTCAGTCGCTCCGCCAGTGTTGCAGGGTCTTGCCACTCAACTCGGACTTGGCCGCCAGCTTCAATGATGGGTGTTGCCTCTTGCTGGCCTGAGCAGAATGGCTCCTGCAGCACTGGCTTGTAGTGCCACAGCAAGCACTTGGCATGGCTGGCTCCTAAGCCACGTTACCTTCCCGGACTACACCTTGGGCAGCTTCTCCTGGCAATGAATCCTGGCAATGTGGGCACCACAGTTAACAGAGAGCGCACACGCTAAGGCATATCGTTAGTGTAAATGTGTACGTTCACCGCCTGCCTTGAAAAATCCAGAAGGGAGAATGAGAACAGAAAGGAGTGGAGCCTTTTTTTACGTTTTGAAAATGCTTTTGATAGGGCCACCAGGAATTAGGTTAAACGGTTTTATGGGACGTTGGCCATTTGCTAGTAATCCTTGTTATATAGACCGGATCAAAAAATGGATGGGATTTGTTGTCAGGGTGGCTGAGGATTCCCCCCCAAACAGAAGTGAGTGACTGGTGGCTTTGGAGAGAGGCTTGCCAGCACTAGATTGGGAGATTCTTGGGGATTTGGGGGTGGTGTTTGGGGAGGGACCTTGGCAGGGTATTCTATTTAATTTTTTCATTAGCTGCCTTTCTACTTTGTGAAACTCAAGGCAGCTTGCAATATAACGAAAACAGCAATAATAAAAAACACATAAAAAGCCACAATTTAAAACCTCCAAATAGGACTGCCATTAAGTAAAAGGTAAATTAGGCCAATGCAGTCATGAATAAAGCAGTCTCCTATTTGCCTCCTGAAGAGCTAAAGTGGAGGGGGCCAGGCACACTTCCCTGGGGAGGTTTTTCCATAATTGTGGGGCTGCCACCGTAAAGGCCCTCTCTCATGGGCCCACCACACAAGCTTCTTTGATTGGCGGGAGAGTCAGGAGGGCCTCTCCCTGAGACCTGAATTCCCAGGCAGGAGTGAATGGGAGAAAATGGTCCTTCAGGTACCCCAGTCCCAAACTGTGTAGGGCTCTGAAGGACAAAAGCAACACCTTGAATTGGTCTCAGGAATAGATCAGTAGCCAGCATAATTGCTGTAGTATCAGGGTCACGTGCTCCCAGGAGCTGGCCCGAACCAGTAGTCCAGCTGTAATATTCGGCACTAGCTACAGCTTCCAAACACTCTTCAAGGGTAGCCCCAAGTAGAACATATTGCAGTAGTCCAGTCTAGATGTAACTAAGGCACGGATCACTGTGGCTAGATCTGACTAAACCATAAACAGACGCGGCTGATGCACCAGCTGAAGCTGGGCAAAAGCATTCCGGGCCGCAGCGGCCACCTGGTTTTCTAAGGTGACTGCAGGGTCAAGCACCACTCCCAAGCGGCAAACCGGGGTTTTCAAGGGGAGTATAACCCCGGTCAAAACAGGAGAGATCTCATGTCCCTGGTCTGCCTTCTTACTAGCCCAGAGGACCTCTGTCTTGTTAGGATTAAGTGTCCCAGAGTGCGCCTACCAAAGCAGCCATGTTCTCCAGGGGAGCCAATCTCCTTAGACTTGCAGAGCAGTAGTAACTCCAGGATACCTCTAGGCTCCACATGGAGGTTGGCAGCCCTGCTTGGAGATGCTGATAGGCGCAAACCAGGCCCTTGGCCTTCTCCACTCTGCTGGCTGCAGTGGTGCTGCTGGAACTCCAGGCTCCCTGGGCAGAGAAATGTGCCTCGCATGCGGAGCAAAATGGCCTGCCGTGTCACCGTCTTGCCTATGTGCTGGGGATGGTGGTGCTGTTCTGTCTTTGTCTTACTGCTTCCACCCTTTTACAGTGACCTAGACCAGCTCAGGAAAATCAGGCGGCGAAGCCCTCATGACGACACTGAGGCGTTCACTGTGTTTTTGAGATCGGATGTGGAGGCAAAGTAAGGATGTCACTATTTGATTTTGGGGGTCCAAAAGGGGTGGAGGGACTGTGGTTCACAGGGGGGAGCATCTGCTTCGCCTACGGAAGGTCCCAGGGTCAGCCCCCTTGGCATTTCTGATTAAAAGGATTGGTTAGCAGGTGATGTGCAAGGCCTCGCCCCAAGACCCTGGAGGGCTGCTGCCCGTCTGAGGAGACAATATTGACCTTTTTTTTTGTGCCCCCCGGAGGGGTTTTTTTGTTGCATTTTTATTAACACTACAAACTATAACAGAAAATAGGGAAGGGGACTACATATAAGGATAAAGGAAAGATACCCACTACTGACTAAAAACCCAAGAGAGGAGGTCATCAACTCAGCTTACAAATACGTTAGCACTTAATCACGCTAGTCCCATTATGAACTAAGTCAAGTATAGTATTATCTTTTTCAATTCTTAATGTTAACTGTGGCAAGAGAGATCCCTAAGCATCTAGTTTCAATAATTTCAAAAGCACAGTTCAGAGTCCTTCAGTCTTCATTTTCCCTTGCCCAGTCTCTTTCGCAGTTTATAAGGACTTTTGGGGGCTGCTGCCCCTTTCTCTGATAGAGAATCTTCTCCGGAAGACCCCGAGTCCAGCTCACCACTGGACCTGCTGTCCATCCCTTTTTTTTCTTCCTCCCCTGGCTCTCCCAGCTGGACTCTTAAAAATTCCCGTGCTTTCTGAACAGAGTCAATCTTTTTCTTTTTATCCTTAATTTTGAAGGTTACGCCCTCTGGAGTTAGCCATCTATATCCGATTGCATTTGTCTGGAGAAAAAGAATTAAATCTTTGTACTTCTTTCTCCTTTGTCTTATTTCAAATGGAATGTCTTTTAAAATTCTGTTAGTATTTTCTCCAACTTTCACGGGTGTGCCAGATGCTGCTTTCAGGATTGCATCCCTCACATGCCTCTTTGAGAATCTTATCACTATTTCCCCAGGAAGTTTATTTTTCTTTATATATCCGGAATATGAACTATAGGCCACATCCATATTGCTCAGCAAAGATTCCGCCTTCATATCTGTCACTGGGGCCAGTAATTCACTCATCATTTCCTTCAGATTCTCTCCCTTAGTCTCTGGAATGCCCTGGAAGCGAAGAATCAAATTGGCTTTTTCCATTTGTAGCTGTAACAGCTGATCTTCTGTGGAGATATGCTTCTTTTCCAGTTTTTGTACTTTCTTCTTCACCCTTTGGGCAGTGGCGTCCACTACTTTCACTTTCTCAGCTGTTTGATTCATCATTTTAAGAGTCTCATTCAACTGTGTTTGCTGGGTGGTGATACATTGGTTCATTGTTGACAGCTGCTCCCTGAGATTATTCATCTGATCCAGCAGGGGGCGCATGGATTCTGCCAATATCTTTGCCAGCTCGTTGGTTGCTTCTGGCCTTGGACTCTCAGTTCCTTTCGCTTTTAACAGTTTCTCTTTCTCCGTCCTCTTCCCCGCCATCTTTTTGGATTGTTTACTTTTGCAGAAGTTTTAAAAGTCTCTGAATATGCAAACTCAAACACTCAAACTCGCCTTGGTAAGTCTCTCTCAACAGTTATAACCGCTTTCTCTTCTGCTCCCCCCCTCCAATTCACTTAAAAGTTTATGCGCATGGGAGGCATTCCTCCATCGCTCGCCTCACTTTCTGTTCCGGGTGGGTGGGGAGCTTTCTTTTCACTTTAACCAATCGCTTTAGTTGAACTCACATTCATAATTGGTCCGTAGACCCCGTTTTAGGTCCGTTTCTTTCGCTCGACCTCCTGCGCTTGCCCTGGTTGGCGTCACTTAGTTCCATTCGGTCTCGCAGCATGAAGAACCGTCGGGACGGAGAAGCGCCTCAATTCCCCGGCATCACGCCGGCGAAGAGGCATCCTCTCAAAAGTCCCATGGCCAGATCCCCTTCAACCGGGTTCCTGGGGGGGTGACAGTCCTGTGCACCCCCTCCTTCTGCTGGAGCGCAGCTTCACCCCCCGGGAGGTCCAGGAGGTGAGTCTGCTAGTGCGCCGCCATCAACCGGAAGTCCCGAGACAATATTGACCTTGATAGAACAGTGGTCTGACTTGGTAGGACACAGCAGCAAAAACAAAAATTATTTCCAATCTTAAGAAAATAAGAGAAGCCAATGTTGGATCAGGCCAGTGGCCCATCCAGTCCCCCAAAATACCAGGTGCCATCAGGAGGTCCACCAGTGGGGCTAGGATACAGAAGCCCTCCCACTGTTGCCCCCCCCCAGCACCAAGAACACAGAGCATCACTTGCCCCAGACTGAGAACTCCTATCTATACCTTGTGGCTAATAGCCACTGATGGACCTCTGCTCCATATGTTTATCCAGTTCCCTCTTGCAGCTGTCCATGCTTGTAGCCGCCGCCACCTCCTTACATATAAGACATTCAATACAAAAATATAGTTATTCCCATCCAGTATCAAAGTGGCATATAGAAAACCCTCACAAGGGAAATTCCAAGGAAAATTTATAAATAGAATTAACAGAGTCAATCAAAATCTACATCATAACAACACTGAGTATATGTATCACTTTTTGCCTTTTGCCTTTACTATAATAGTACTGTATTTCGCAGTGGTTGTTTTTGCTGTTGTGTTGTCTATGCTGTGATTCCTCTAGTTGTGCTGACTTGGTAGGAGGCAGCTTCATGTGTTCGAAATACAACTTTAGTTCCTAATGCCTTCCTGTGTAGAATTTTTCCTAAGACCTCTTTTTTTTTTGGGGGGGGGGGGGGGG